GAGGACCGGTTTGGGAAGACATCCTCTGTACTTCCCAGTAAGGAAGCCCTATATAACCGTTTGACGATTGTGACCACGTCTCCCTCCACCCCATATACCTGTTTCGACAGCGAATATTCCTTCACTGCGGTTAAAAAGAACAACCTTATGCTTACTTGATTTTTCATCGTTCTTCTGCATTGGAGCGAATACGTCATGTGCTATTGAATGACCTTGCAATTCCCTCCCTATAGCTTGCTGTAGCCGAGCAACTCGCCACTCGTTGACCTTCCAATAAGACATTTCCACGATGACAGAAATAGGCATCGCTCGAAGACCATTGTACACATTATTTATACTTTCTCCATGATTGGTAGTTGCAATGCCCCATCTGGACCCGTTGTCCATATGGAACGTCCACATGGGCAACTCTTGACCTTCAGCCCATACTGCTCCAGCTCGGTGGGTCTGACGGATCACTTTCATCTTCTGCTCGTACTTTTTTGGTTGATGTGCAACCGCTAAAAGGTGAACAAAAGACTAACTGGTCAATACATGATGAATAACATCAGCTTATCAGCTTAATAAACACAAAGTTAAATCGCATAAGAAAAACATTAGTACCTGCATTCCAAAGCTGATTTTTGATGTCTTTCTTCTTCCCAAATTTGTGCTGGAAATTGGCAAGCCAGTGTCGAATACACCATCTCCATCTCCACCCCCACTCGTTGGGAAAACCACCAACAGCATTCCTAATCCCCGCATGTCGATCGGATATAATCGTAATATCTTCCCGCTGTGTCACGTGTTCATGTAGTTGGTCAAAGAACCATTCCCAACTTAAGTTGTTCTCCCCTTCCACTAATGCAAATGCAAGCGGGAAAATCCGCCTGTTTCCATCAACGCCAGTGGCAATTAGAAGACATCCTCTGTACTTCCCAGTAAGGAAAGTTCCGTCAACCTGAATAAAAATTTAGGATCTAATTAGTATGAAATATACGTAACAGCAAATAATACAACATTTAAAACCGGAACCAGTTGGTAAAATACCTGAATAACCGGTATGCAGAACCCAAAACCGTCAATGCATGGTTTAAAAGCCCAAAAAAGACGATAAAACATCAGCTTATCCTGTACTCGAACTTGATCCTCAGTGTATACATTGTTGTATACTGGGACGAAAACAGTCCCAGGATTGGACTCCTCCATTGCTCCCATAAGTCTAGGGAGTAAAGCATACGAATCCTCCCAATCACCATACACCTCAGCCATGGCTTTCTGCTTACCATGCCATGCTTTTTTGTACCTTATCGTGTAAGAATGTCGATCCTTCACCTCTGCCATGATAGCTTTCACCTTGATATCTGGTTGTGCTTCTATAAGGTGCTTAATAGTTCTCCCAACCTTCTTTGCTTTTAGTTGCCTGTGATCTTGGGAAAGTATAGAAGAGGAGCATGTGTGGATCGTCTCAGCTTTGCGAATCACCCAAGCACCCTTTCTCTTCATATTTGCAGCCCGCAGTTGCCACGTACAACCCTCTGCATCATGCTTGCAAATGACATGTAGTTGTTTACTGTCAGAATATTTTACCTTCCACTCGAAATTGTGCCTCAACGCCTCTTCTGTAAAAGCATCCTGCACAGCGTCTTTCGATGTGAACGCCATACCCACCTCCAAATTGGCCGTCGTATTGTACACTGGCATAGGGACAAAGTCGGGGGGATCATTCTGACTATGTAAAAATTGAGTTGGAACCTGTGTGTAATATGGCGTGGGTGCCTCACGAAATGCCGCCTCATCCTCGTTATCATCAGTATCTTCCTCCTCCTCGCTCACTGATCTCAAATCTTCCTCAGTATCCTCGTTGCTCGACTCGAATGGATAGCTCGGGCTTGAAGGATCAACATGACCACGATCACCAACATCGTCCTCTCGCTCATGTGAAGTACGCCCTGATCGAATGGTATTCTCGATTCCATACCACTCTGGCCCCCAAGCAGGCCATTGAACACCATCGGCCTCAACAAATGGGGCTGGTTTAGGAGGTTGCGAGTATTTGTCCCATCCTGCACTACTCGATCCACCGTAGTTGATTGAACCACCACCCTCCCCGTAACCTCCTGTATAACCACCGCCTTGGTAGTTGCTCGAACTACCACCCCATTCGTACCCTCCTGCAAAACAATCATCATAAGAATACTGGTGAGAATGAGATTCACCGACCGCCTCGGTCTCAACATACACCTCTGCAAGCCGGACTTGGTTATCGCTTAGGAACTGTAACATCATCGTAACTGCGTCATCATCGTTTATGACAACTTCTTGGAACACGAGCCCGCCAGCACTCATGTCTGGATACCGGTAAGTAATTTTGCCAAGTCTCGTCTGTCCGCTCGTACAAACCCTTTCTGCACAAAGATCACAGAGTTCTTGAAAATTGAACCGGGAATCAATTTTCAGCATAATGGATTCGTCGTCCTCATAATCAATGCCTATGAGTTTGTCACCCTTCCATTCCACCGAATAGTAAGATGAAACTTCTTGAATTTACCCATATCTACAATTTACAATAAGTATCTATTAGCTTAAAGACAGTAAAATTAACCAAAATCATATTGTACAACTAATATTAAATCATACCATAACTAACGAAAATAAATTCAACTAACTAACAACAACATAATACGAAAATTAAATCATACTATAACTAAAGAACATAAGTTCAACTAACTAACAACAACATAATACGAAAATTAAATCATACTATAACTACTAAAAACATAATTAGACTATAATAAGAAAAGTCTCAACATACCGAAAATTTTCTGTCCTGTGTATTATGCTCGATTTTGGCTGCTTAAATTTGAAGAAAGGGGAGTGGTTATGTTTTTACAACTGCTGGTGGTGTGCTATTTATAGGAAAATCTGCCTACTATTCACCGTTTTTGTCAAAAACGGTGAACATCATCACCGCGTTTGTCTCAAACGGTGAATAGTTGGTAGCTGCGACCTAATTTTCACCTACCAGGGGTGGGAAACGTGGGAAATGATCACCGCTTTAAACAACGACGGTGAATGTGTTCACCGTTTTTAACCAAAACGGTGATGGATTCACCGTTGTTGGCAAAGGCGGTGAACCCTTCACCGTTTTGTTTAAAAACGGTGAAGAATTCACCGTCTTAGTCAAAAGCGGTGATGTGCTTCACCGCTTTGGTCAAAAACGGTGATGCTCAAACATGTGTACTTTGGGAAATTTTTTTATAACTCATGTATTTTGGGAATTGTTTTTAAGAACGTGTGTACAGTGGGATTTTTTCCAGCTTCTAGGTAGCCCGTCTCTCTCTTTTTTTTTTCCGCTAATGATTTAATTCTTTTGTAAAGGCAAGTGAGCAACAGGTGAACAGTCTGAGAATAATACAATGAGAATCGGTCTGGAGCTGAGTTGGAATACTGTCTGGCGATGAGAGGGTTCGACAAAAGTCAAGCATTTCCTATGGCTCTTGACAACAAATTTCATCCTCATAAATGTTGCAAGGTTACAACGATGCATGGCCACCTTTGATGCATGTACACACGATGGTGGGAACCTTCTATTGAGTAAGTTACTCTCAATTTTGATGGCCCGTTCATCCTAATTCATGCCATGCACTAGTGGGGTGACCCTTATCATAGATCACACTAGGCAATAGGGATGACAAACGGTCGGGCTGGGTGGTGACTGGTGACTACCAAATCCAAACCCAACCCAGAGGGTATATCTGTAAAAATAAAAGTGGAGAAAAACCCAACGGATTCTAGAACCTCAAACTCAACCCGCTAGGTATCCGTGGGTTCGTGGATACTCATGGGTTCTGATGGACAAAAATTAATATTAATTTCTTGTCAAAATAAAAGTCTAACACCAGTTTTCCCACACAAATTATCCATACAAAAACATAAATCTAGTACATACAAGCAAACCCACAAATTATCCACACAAATTGTTTAAGGGGTTGAGGTTTGAGGATCGAAGGGATATTGGTGTGGCGGATATTCATGGGTCAGTATGCCTAAATCCAAACCTAACTTGTTGAACAGTACAATGAGTTTCAACCCGAACCCGGTCCGCAAACCATCAACTAGGGTTTACCCACTTTGACCAGTTTGGTCGGATAGGGTACCCGTGGATCCGGGTTTTGTCGCCATCCCTACTAGGCAATGCTTGTTAGGGTTCACAATCAATTTGGGGATATGCTCCATCAACACAATAGTAAGCAGAGTTAAGATTTAGAAGGTCTTTTATGCTTAGGCATGTTGAATATAGACGAGTGCGAGTACAACTGTATTCATGTTGCATTGAACGACTTTTACAATGCGCCGAAGGGAGCGGATCATGTTACATTGAGTCTTTAATTCCGAGAATTACTAGAGAGAAACTAGGAGGTTGTTCTCATATATGCAAAGATGGTAAAAAGTATGCAGATAGCCTGAATAGTCGAGGACATTGACTTCTTTTGGATTTGTATTGTATTTACGTTGTCTGATCATGTGCTTTGTTATAAAATATTTTATGATTCAATGGATTTCCAAACTCCGATGGGTTAAGAATAAAAGAAAGGGCGTCGTTAGCATATATTTACCTGAAGCGGCCAAGTCTAGGATGTTAAAATACCATATCATTTAAAAATAAGACACACAATACCAATAATTGAACAAACCATGAGAACTCGGTCCAATAGTAAACTAAACCATCATTACATTTGGCTCGGTTTGTTTCAATCCAAATATCAATTCAGCTCGTATTTTATTTAATATTCATAACATTCAATGGACCACAAACTAAGTCGCATTATATTTGACCAGATCCAAATATCAATTTAGTTTGATATGATTCGGTACGGATCTAACCATTGCACTCCTATCCTTAAGACCTAGTTACTCCAAATCGACCTCACGGATTTGTTGGGTTAGGCCCGCGTATGAAGCACGACCAGTTCTGCTATAAACGAATTGCTACAGATATGGGCCAAGCCCAATCTTCTGTGTAAAACACTTACCATGCTTACGGTTGTTCTGGAGTAATTCACAATTCACAAACTCATCAAACATTGGGGAGGCTCTTACAGACTCTCCGACAGGCCCAACAGTACCAGAAGCAATTATGCAGCGGAAATGGAAATCTGGAACTCAAAAATTGATTGGTTATCATAACAGGTTTATCCCTGCTCTCTCTTATCCTCTTCCCATTCAAACTCCAAAACTCTGCAAAGCAGAAGAAAACCTCCCCCACCTTCGGCACTTATCCAATCACCACCTCGTCGACAGTTTGCACCAATGGCTCTTCAAGCAACCACCACCATTTCTCCCACAGGCTCCCTCAACAAAGAGGTTAGTTTAGTACCTTTCTAAAGTGATTTGCCACTTCCAGTGAAACTGTTCTTACCACTGTTGTTCTTTCAGGGAAAGTCCATAACTTCTCTCAAGGAAACTGGATTTTTCGGAGCCTCAATCTCGGTTCCATTCAGCCTGAAAGCAGAATCATGGGCACCCCTGATAAGAAGCAAGGTTAGTTAGCTGCCCACATACTATTGAGAACCCTTTGATCTGTGCTTGCTGCAATAAGAAAAATAAGCTAAAAATCGCGAGTTTGAGGTGTTTTAGGGAATTGGTGATGTGGGATCAATGAGACTGTAACCTTGATAGCTGTGATTGTCATTTTTGTAAACCGTGCATACTCAGGAATTCAGGAAAAGGGAAGTGGCTTTTGGAACACTAGTAGTCCGAGCACAAACTGCTGCTACAACCCCAGCAATGACCAATTCCGCGCCAGATGCGAAAAAGACCAAGAGAAAAGGCAACGTGATAATCACAGGAGCTTCATCAGGGCTAGGGCTAGCCACAGCCAGGGCTCTAGGCCAAACAGGGGAATGGCATGTGATCATGGCGTGCAGAAACTTTCTCAAAGCAGAGAAGGCAGCCAAATCATCCGGCATCCCGAAGGAGAACTACACAGTAATGCACCTCGACCTTGCCTCACTCAACAGCGTCAGACAATTTGCTGAGAATGTTCGGCTTTCGGGGAAGCCTGTTGATGTTGTGGTCTGCAATGCTGCTGTCTATTTGCCTACGGCCAAGGAACCAACTTACACAGCTGATGGGTTTGAGCTCAGTGTTGGGACTAATCACCTTGGCCACTTCCTTCTTGCCAGGCTGCTCCTCGATGACCTGAAGCAATCGGATTACCCTTCCAAACGCCTTATTATTGTTGGCTCCATAACAGGTGTCTACTATTAGTAGTAGTAGGATGATCAAACAACTGATAGTGATGGCAATATATAGCCACTCCATAGCTTCTTTCACTAATGCTGTTACAATCCAGGAAACACAAACACATTGGCCGGGAACGTGCCGCCCAAGGCTAACCTGGGGGATTTGAGAGGGCTTGCTGGTGGCTTGAATGGGGTGAACACTTCCTCAATGATAGACGGGGGAGAGTTCGATGGTGCCAAGGCATACAAAGACAGCAAAGTCTGCAACATGCTCACGATGCAAGAATTCCACAGGCGTTACCACGAGGAGGCAGGAGTTACCTTCGCTTCGCTCTACCCTGGTTGCATTGCTGAGACGGGTTTGTTCAGGGAGCATGTGCCTTTGTTCAGGCTTCTATTCCCACCTTTCCAGAAGTACATTACTAAAGGCTATGTTTCCGAGGAAGAAGCTGGCAAGAGACTCGCACAGGTCTGGTTATCAGAAAGAAACCTTCTTCCAAATTTTTTTCTTTCCTTCTCCCCCTATTAATGAAAAGGTAACAACTTTGATTTCAGGTTGTTAGCGAACCGTACCTTACAAAATCGGGTGTCTACTGGAGCTGGAACAAGAACTCGTCTTCATTCGAGAACCAGCTCTCTGAAGAAGCTAGTGATGCTGAAAAGGCCAAAAAGCTGTGGGAAGTAAGTGAGAAGCTTGTTGGGTTGGCTTGAAATGAACAAACCATGAGCAGGATAGACTCCAAATCCAATCACCACATTTTGAAGAATATACCATGAGGAAACTAGACTTTGTAATGAGATCATTCCATCTCCTGTTGTTATTGTACAAGCTATGTCTCAAATGAATCAAAATCTTTCATGATGCAATTCTGAAGAGTAGCAGGTACTTTCATTGTGTAAGCAAGCATGGATATACAGTACTCTAAACGGCAAGATTACTAAGACATTGTTCTTCAAAGATGAAAGAACAAAGTAACGTCGAAGTTTATCTTTACCTCTGCGATTTACACCGTACTCTAAATGGCAAGATTACAGAGAAACAATCCTTACCATTTCCTCTATAAACATATAACAATGAGTACAATCAAATTCCCCCTTTCTCTGGACAGCAAGATTTTACCAATTGAAACCCAGAAGCCAAGAACAGCTTTATCCCTCCCAACCAACCAATGCCTGCTTCTCTCTCCTCTCCTTCTGTTTCTGCGCTGCCGATTTCCTCACTCTTCCCTTTCGCAGCAGCCAACTCTGCTCAGAATCGCCATTAATACGTCCTGCCCTTCTTCTCATTCATTCTGCACGAGATGCTCTGCGTCTCCCATCTCCACCTCGCCCTTCCCGCCCCCACGCCACCCACGCTCGCTCTCGAACAACACCTCAATCTCCTCCAACGACTTCCCTTTCGTCTCCGGCACCAGCCAGTACACAAACGCCACCGAAACCGCCGACACCGCCGCGAACACCAGGAACGTCCCGCCGACGGTTATAGCATTCGACACCGACAGAAACGACATCGCCACTACCCCACTGCAAACCCTATTCCCCACCGCCCCCAGCGCCGCCGCCTGCGCCCTCAGCCTCAGCGGAAATATCTCCGACGTCACGACCCAGCAAACCGGCCCAATCCCCACCGAGAAAAAGCCCACATTCGCGCACACGAAGAAGATCGCCAGCCCAATCCCAACCGCTCCCTGGCCCATCACCGTCAGCGTGAACCCTAGGCTGAACAAACAGACCGTCATCCCAATCGTGCTCACGTACAACAATGGCTTCCTCCCGACCTTATCGATCAGCAGAATCGCCACCATGATGAAAAGCGTCTTCGAAACCCCCACCGCCACCGTTGCCGCAAGAAGCTTCGTGTTGTCCGTGATTCCAGCCGTTCTCAAGATCTCAGGGCTGTAGTAGACGGTTGCATCGATACCTGTAATCTGCTGGAAACACTGGATCCCAAACCCTGTGACCAACATTCTTCGCAAAGCAGGGGAAGGGCTTAACATCTCTCGCCACACCGCCTTCTGCTCGTGCTTGCTATTGTTATTATCATCGCCCGTGGATGAAGAACTTCCGGCGTTGGCGGCAACTAGGATCTCGGCAAGCCTGTCGTCGACTTCATTCTCGTCGTCGATTGTCTTCACGAGCACGGATCGAGCTTCCTCGATTCGGTTCTGCATCACGAGCCATCTGGGCGATTCGGGGATGATGAAGAGCGCGAAGCCGATGAAAATCGATGGCAGGATTCCAACGGCGAGCATTACTCTCCAGCTTGTGTGGACCGAGAGGCCCGAAAACGCGTAGTTGGAGACGTAGCCGAGCAAGATCCCCAGGTTGATGAAGATCTCGGGGAAAGAAGTTAGGGATCCTCTGGCGACGGTTGGGGAGATCTCGGCGATGTAGACGGGAGCTATCATGACTCCCAGTCCGATTCCGACCCCGGCGAGAAATCGGCCGATCATTAGGATCTGGAACGACGGAGCGAATGTCATCACGATTGCTCCGGATTGGAAGACGACGGCGGCCAGCGCCATTGTCCATTTCCTGCCGATGTGGTCGGAAGTCCTTCCGCCGGCTAAGCTGCCGAAGAGGGAGACGATGCTTAGGATTCCGACGAGGACTTCTTGTTGTACCTCGGTTATGTGTAGATCTTCCTGGATGAATAGGATTGCCCCGCTCATCACTCCTACATCTGCAGATTTTGGAAAAAGAAGCCACGTGGAGTGCCAGATGTGGTTTAATTAGTAATGAGGATTTGGTGAGGGATATTTGCGCCAGACGTCTGAAACAGAGCAATGATGGAATTTTTTTTTTTCTTCTGCAGAGAACATTAATGGCGACTGAACTAATTTCGATTACGGGCGGGGTTTGCAAGGAAAGGGGGAAGAATTTGCGGGGAGGGGATTGGTAGTACCGTAGCCGAGGAGGACGGAGTTGAGAGAAGCGAAGACGGCGCAAGCGAGAACGTACTTCCTCGTGCTGTTCTTTCTCTGTTGCTGATGGATGTAATCAGAAGCGTCGTCGAAATCGGCGTCGGCGAGCTCGGAATCCATCCTCCTGTACTTGTTCTTGGCTCCCAAATCCAGACCCATTTCTCCTTTCCCGTTTTCTGGGATGCCCACCAACCCCATCTCCTCCGGAGCTTCGCGAGTAAACCGAAACAAGAAGAAGGCTTTGCTGAGGAAAACAGAGCAGAGCAGAGCTACAAACTGGTGTTTGATTCCTTCCTGCTCTTTCAGCTCTTGATTCCTCCAACCTGGAGACTGAATTCCAGATCTGGAACCAAACTACAGTAGATGGGAAAGTCACAGTTTGACCCCTAATTGCTAAGTCATGTAATTGTTTGTTTTTTCTTTTGGGGAAGCAACTTGACAATTCTTTGCGGATTAAGAGATGGCAACTTGACAATTTCCACGGAGATGCTTAAACAATGACTTGCCAGTTGCCACTTTAAAACTATATCAAATTTAATTACGTCGAGGTAATTCAAGAATTCTCGTCTGTTTCTACCTTCTTTCCTTGGTTTCGCTTTATTTCAAATAGGCGCTTTGGAGAGTTTGGCACAGACCGCAGCCCCCAGTGTCGTGCAAAATGTGTCGGTGTTGTCCTTGTAGTCATCGATTTCCTTAGGATTGCATAGAGGAAAAAATCCCACCGTACATATGGGATGGCAATGGGTCGGGTTGGGGCGGGTTTAGTCAAACCCAAACCCATGGGTTTATCCACCAAAAAAACTCGGAGTAAAACCCGTTGGGTTTGAAAAACTCAAACCCAACCCAACCCGCTGGGTATCCGTGGGTTTTTGTGGTAAAAAATTTACAATAACAAGTTTTTTTCAAAATAAAAGTTTAATATCAATTTTCTCATACAAATTAATCATACAAAAAAACACCAATCTAGAGCATACAAGCAAACCGCAAATGATCAATACAAATTGTTCAAAATTAAAGATAAACATCTATAAACAAAAGATTAATTGAAAGCTTCTTCCTCGTCAACTAAGTTTCTTCACTCTCCACTTCATAATATCAACTTCATTCTAAACAATTAGAAAGAACAAATTATACATGTCTCCACAAACATAAAAAATATTAATTATTTAAGGAAGATATATTATTTAGAATATTAAATATACCGGGAAAGTAATTATATGTGTGTGGGCGGGTACCCATGGGTTGGGTTTACCTAAACCCAAACCCAACCCGACCCGGTGAATAGTGTAGCGGGTTTAAACCCGAACCCGGCCCAAAACCCGTCAACACGGGTTTTACCCGCGTTGACCGGTTTGGGTCGGGTGGGTACCCGTGGGTTTGGGTTTTGTTGCCATCCCTAATTGTACACATGTTCTTAAAAAAAATTCTCAAAATACATAAGTTATAAAAAAATTTCAAATACACATGTTTGACATTCACCGTTTTTGACAAACGCAGTGAAGAATATCACCGCGTTTGACAAAGACGGTGAATAGTTCACCGTTTAAAATGAAGACGGTGACATATTCACCGCGTTCATCTAAAACGGTGAACTACCAGCGAGGCAATCACCATTTTAGAGGGACACGGTGAATCAATCACCGTTTTAATTACAAACGGTGACATTTAAACCGCGTTTGTTGTCCACGATGAAGCGAAGCGGATCGCTGATGTGGACAAACGCGGGGTATTCACCGCGTTAAACAAACACGGTGAATACCCCGTGTTTTTTTGCGTCAGCGATCCGCGTCGCTGACGCGTTCACCGTGGCCGTCGGATGCGGTGAGGCACGAATCGTGGTTTTCTTCCTAGATCCGACGCCTCACGCTAAGCCACGTCACTCGATCCACGCCCTTTCACCGTCCTCGGGAAACGCGGTGCCTTCACCATTTCTGACAGAGGCGGTGAATACCCCCCAGAATTAATTCCGCTGATCCCTTCCCCCAACTATAAATAGACCCTCCCCCCCCCCCCCCCCCCCCCACTTACAACTCACACCACAACCATTTCACTTCTTTCTCCCTCAATTTATCCGCTCTAGTCTCGTTTTAAATATGCTCTGTGGTTGCGGCTAAGTCCGATCTTCCACATCAGAAAGAATTACTAGAGTTTGACCCTAAAGCCCCCGTCCCGCTAAGTTCCCGTCCCTTACAAACCTCAACCCGTCGAACCTCTGTCCGGCTTCCGCCAAAAAATGGATGAAGAGGCTCTTCGTGTAGGTTTTTATTTTTTTTTATTATTATTTTTTTAATCGAAACAATTTGATTTTTTGTTATTTTTATCAAAACAATCTCTGATTTCATTACTTTTTTATAGATGGGTGCCGAGATATACGATCCTCAATTGTATATCCATTATGGCCCAAGGGATGCGAGAATCTTAACCGATCAAGAAGCTCATCGCTCCCGTGTTATTTTGGATAACAATCCGGTAATTTGATGATTTATTTGCTTTATTTTATTATTTTCTAAGGTTTTATTTTGCTTGATGACATCTAATAAATTGATGTTTTTCCTATTTTTTGTAGGAATCACTTGTTCCCGTGGTTCATAAAGGGACCACGAACTTGCCCGCTTGGCATCCAAGGTTGGCGCCTTATATAGAGAGGACCGGTTTGGGAATGTTGCGTCATTTCATGTGGATCGAAATCGACAACGATCTGCTTACGGCAATGGCAGAGTGATGGCGTCCCGAAACCCATACGTTCCACCTTGCGGAGGGGGAAATGACGATCACCCTCAAAGACGTGGCGATCCTCACCGGGCTGCCTATTTCTTCAGATGCCATCATTGGTTCCACTACCAAACCCGAAGGAGGTTAGGGGCCGCTCATTCGTGATCGTTTGGACTTTGACATGCCGACCACGACACCAATTCAAGGACGGGGGCATCCACAGTTGAATGCGGGGCAAGTGTCGGTCCCGTGGCTGGTAACTCACATCCAGGCTTAGGTGGAAATCAATGACGAGACTCCGGAAGAACAAGTGGAGCGCTACGCCCGCATCTACCTCATTGGTTTGGTGGGTGGATTTCTGTTCCCCGACAAGTCGAACCGGTGGATTCAAGGCATATGGTTGGAATTGCTCACTAGTGACTGAGATGCAATCGGGCAAAAGAGTTGGGGATCGGCCGTGCTAGCGGGCGTATACCGAGAGTTGTGTACTTGCTCGAAAGTGGGAGCAAAGCAAGCTGGTGCTGCGATGTTCATCCTACAACTGTGGGTATGGGAGCATCTTCCAATGTTCGCACCTCTCGACCCACGTCCATACCGGTGAAACGATGATGAGCTAAACTTTTTGCAAAATCCCCCCTACGGTGTCAAGTAAGTTTATTCCGTACTTAGCCCAATTTAAATTTTATTACATGCTTAGCTAGATTTAAATTGAATTTATTCCGTACTTAGACTATTTTAATTTATTATATGCTTAGCTAGATTTAATTTGAATTTATTCCGTACTTAGACCAATTTAATTTATTATATGCTTAGATATATTTCAATTAAATTGATTCTGTACTTTTACTTACAAGGTGGATAGGAGCAAATACGAATGACCATCAACCTGAGCATTCGTTACTGTTTTATCGTTCTGAGTTAGATAAACCTTGGTGGAATCAGGTAATCATGTTTTGTCCATATTTGAACAAGTTAAATTTTATCAATTTAAATGGTCGTTAATTCCGAATTTTGAATGAATATAGGTTATATGGGATCCATATCCACGTGAAGTGGTTGAGCTGCATCATCTTAAACACCCTCTGGATCACGAGACGTGGTTGTGCAAGGTGCCATTGATCTGCTGGCACATCGTGGAATGGCACCTACCCGATCAATCCTTGAGGCAATATCGAATGGAGCAACCAATTCCACAAGACCCGCCTCAAGGTTTCAGGGAGCTTCATGCTATCGACCTCCGGCACGCTGCAAAGAACTGGCTCCTAAAGCATAAGTTCTACATCAATATCTGGGAGAATCGAGGCCAATGGGTGGTGCAAGGGATGCCGGAGACGAGACCGATGGGCTACCACGATGGGTACATGCAGTGGTATCGGAAGTTCACCATGAGATGTGTGTCAAAGCAAGGTGTTGTGATGGGTTCGTTGGTAAGTCATCCTAATCTCCCTCATTCTAAAATAAATTTATTATAAGGTTTAGTTAATTTGATATATTTTGTGCTTTCCTTAGGTTGATGGTTTGGAACACGCCAAGTACACTCTCGAAAGTGCTCCAACCATGGATGAGCGGAAGACTTCTTGGTTGACCCGACTTATGAACAACCTCCTGAGTTGTACCAGAGAGCAAAGGAGGGATGTCGTAGCTTATCCTCCCGTTCCTGCCCCGGCACGACCCTCATTCCGTGACGATGCACCCATTGTGCCCCCGGTTGAGCCCCACGAAGGAGCAAACGCAAGCCTCTGCCTACATTCGAAGAGGTGCGTACAACTCAAGCAACCGAGCTCTCTGAACCCTTCGAGTACACGTGGGCACCTGCACCGGATGTCGGTGGAGGGTCATCGAGTCACGGTCCATCTCAGGAATCGGACATTTTCCCTCATGGGTTTCCTCATTTCCAACATCAGCAACAGAGTCCGATGTATCAGACCCCGCAGCAACAAACTCCGCACCCCCCGATCTACCGTCAAGCTACTGGTCCATCTCAGCCACCACCACCTCCACCGCCATATGTAACCCCAGTTGGTGCTCGGGTCAAGAGAAATCCGCGACCAACCGTTGAGTGAGCCCGCCAAGAAGCAGCGGCGGAGGGGGGAAGAAGGGGTCGAGGACGTCGTGGAGGACAAGGAGGAAGAGGTAGAAATGGGGGCCAAACTGAAGCAAATGAGTGAATTTATCGTGTTTATCATTGTAGTGAACTATCCATGTTGTTTTTGACATTTTTAGGTCTTGTGATTTGAGTTTGCATTGTCTAAAAACTATCCTACGCACTTAAGTTGTCGAATGAATATTCTGGATCATTTTATCAAGAATCAGTATCTAAACTCAACACAAAAAAGTTGGGAAAATCAACCACGATAACGTAGAATTTTACAGATCTCAATTCCTAGTCCAAACGAGTGAGATAAAGTGAGTTCAAAGCTGCACATGTCGTTACAGTAACTTTTGCGTATCAAAAACTAAAACGAGCATATCTTATTCGTTTGAGGTCGAAATAACGAGCCGTTTGCGGAAGCGCGATCGTATCGACAAGGAGAACATTTTAGAGTTAACAAAATACCTGGAGACTTCTATATAATTTTGACGAGATCCGACAATTAAACTCGTAATTCAAATGCAAGCGGTAATGAAAATTTAGACAAGCTTACAATTTAGTACCTAATTACAAGTAAATGCAAATTAAGATAGTGGTTGTCCTGGACAACGCCTCTTGTCGTGACCAGGTTGTCTGCACTTAGAGCATTGATTCGGTCCCCTTCTCGTCCGTTCAACTTGATCCATCTCATTGTGTATCCTTTCAACTCTAGGACGACCTTTGGTGCGTTTTAGGTGCAACGGTGGGATAATCAACTTTCCAGCGTATATAGGCCAATATGCTTCATCTGGCATGGGGCTCAAAGCTGCATTATATGAGTTCCGTATCGCTTGTTCAGTGTAGTAAGGACTCACCAGGCTGTTTCTGTTCATGGTTATTGACTTAGCTACTGCCATTGCATGTGAACAGGGTATCCT